TGCTTATATAAAGTTGCTTATTTTTTTATTTTTTGCCAAATCAAATTTAGCACAAACATTAATTAATTGCTATTTATTTATTAGTGCAATTAATTACTAATGCCTTTATTTATTATTTTATTTATTAATAAAACAAGCCAATCAAATAAATAAATCCTATAAATCTTAAAAAATAATTTTAGATGTAAAAAGTTACACACACGCCATCAATTAATCATTCTTTTAGAAAAAAAAAAATTAAAAAAAAAATAAATGTTTTGGAATTTTTTTTATACATACATGTGATTTGATATAAATATTATGGAATATAATTAGTAATAGATAGATGATGATGACTATAGTAATAATAGTAAAAACTACTTTGAAAAATCCCGAGAACCCCGAACAATAAAAGGGAAAATAACTCAAAATGTAATAATAAAATAAGGCTAGTAATAACAACAATAATAAATATATCATGATATTATTATTATATGATGGATAGATATTGTTTTACTTATGATCTAAATAATAGCACTAAATTCCACTAACACCACCACAAACTTTTTTTCACGAATGAATGAATTTTTTTGGTGTTGATGATGATGCATTAACACATTAGCATGATACTAACAAAAATAATTCCATATAACAATTTTTATTACATACTCGGAAATTATTATTATTAATATAATAATTCTTATTTGTATATATATATATATATATATAATTAATAAATAAATAAATTATCCGCCATCATCATCCATAATATACATATATAGAAAGTATGATTGAATGATTAGGTTTCAGAGCTCAATGTCATAACCATAAAATGGAAGTCAAATCAATATCGGATGGAGGATGATATAAATGAAAAATGAGATTGGAATTTTAGACTGAACGGGGATTGGGATGCGGATATTCCGGAAAGTAAGCAAGCGGATATGTATGTGAAAAATATACATATGTAATTACTATTATTTATTATTATTATTATTATTATTTATGTCAAAAACTTTTTTTTTTTTAAATCTTTTTTGTCAAACATATATAGTGAATGAATCAATTGTTCTTTCCTCAATTAGAAAAATTTTATTATTTTAGAGATTTATAAAAAAAAAAAACGCCTATTTTCTTATTCAATAGTAAAACTTTATTTTGAAGTTGGTAAAATTTTATCTCTCACATATATAAGACGATGATGTAAACATACAACAACACAATCGAATAATATTACCATTGATTATTAATTGATATTTAACAGCCAAGCGTAAATAAAATTCCAGTCCTTCTTTCTGATAGGTGGGAAGGAGATTAGATTGAGCTTGGAATAATATTTGTGAACATACAAAATACATATATATAATAGGAAAAATGGAATTGTAATAGGAAAAATGAAAATATGATGTGAAAATTATCGATGATGGTTTGTTTTGTTTAATGCTCCTAATGTTATTATTGCTGCTATTATCACTCACTAATTGCTGGCTATTTCTTTTGTTGTTGTTGTTGTTGTTGTTGTTGTTGTTGTTGTTGTTGTTGCTGTTGTTGTTGTTGTTATTGTTGTTGTTGTTGTTGTTGGAATTTCCATATTTTCACAATTAAAATTGCCTTCAATTAATTAACTGCTGACATATTATTATTATTATTATTATTTGTTTTAGTCAAATTAAATATGCACAAATAAAGTAATTAAAAGAATATTTGGCAATTTATTAGTTTTTGGTTGGCTAATAATGATGTAAAAGAAGAATCAGTAAGCGAAGAAGGGAAATCAATCAGATGAAAAATAATAAAGTTAATTAATTTATGTAAAATAATAATAAATAATAATAATAATAAAATAATAATAATAATAATAATAATAATAAAAGGTAAAGAGAAGTTAGATAAAACATATATGTCCATCAATCGACTAATTATAAATGTAATTAGTTACATTTATTTATTTACTTATATAACAAACGCGAACAAACAAATTTGCCTCCCAATTCTTTATTACTTTTTATTATGCTGATCGATTGACCACCAACACCACTCGCAAAAAAAGGTTTTACCTATAATAAAGTTTTATCCAATCCCTGAAATAAAATTGTTAATTTCTGATAAAGTTTGTTTTGGTCAATTCTGATTGGATGGCCAAGTTAATTAATGGTTAATTAAAAAGTTTAATTGGCAACTTAACCAAACTAAATATGGCAATCGTACATGGAAAAACTCTGAGATTTTGATTCTTTTGGAGAAGAGAGAAATCAATCAACAATTATTATTATTGTTGTTGTTATTATATATTACAGGAAATGTTTGCCATTCATAACCATCGTCATCATTCCATTTCTCCATTCTCCTTGGTGCTGTTGGCGAAACGATAATGATGCTCATTCATTTATTCATTCATTGATAATTATCAATGATTAAAATTTTCCTATTTTCCTCCTTTCAAAGAAAATTCAAAATTTACTAATTAGTTGTGGAATTTTTCTAATTAGCACAAATAGCCATACATGGTGGTAATCACAACCAATCAATTTCCATTCATGTTCTCATTCATAATAAATAATAAACAATAAACTAGGTCGACAAAAAAAACTAAATTAGTAAAAAACTTTATTATTTTATTTTAATTAATAATTGGAACTGCCGAAATTAAAATTGCCGGTGTTAGTGCTACCTGCGTAGTCTTGATGTTAATAAATAGGCTGCTGCTGTATATTTAAAAAATGTACATAAATATAAATATAATATAAATACAAATACAATAATTTTTATTATTATTGTTATCAAATATAAAACTTAAAGAGGGACAGAGAGAGAGAGAGAGAAATAAGCCGAAACTTTTTTTTTTTGTGTGAATTTATTTATTATTATTGTATTTTCTGTAATTAGTAAAATTCCGATAAGGATAATATACACACACATATGATAGTAACTTTATAAAAATAAATAACAAAAAAAAAAAAAACTACATTCATTTATTTATTATTTATTATTTATTTTAATTAATTAATTAATTTTAATTATTGTTTTCTATTTCTGTTGTTATTATTTTAGTTTTTATTTGTAATATGTGTGCATGTTTGTATAATTGATTATGTGCGGTCTATTATTGGAATAATTCATGCATGTTGTGGTGGAAAATGAGAATCAAAGGAATGAGAAAATGATCAATAATTAAGATTGGCAGCAAGTGATGAATGAGGCTTTGAATGTGAAAATGTGAATAAGAACAAGTAATTGATTGAGCGCGCGCGTTTTTTTTTGTGTGTGTGTATGTGTGTGTGTGTATGCGTGTTTGTGTGTGTTTGTGCGTGTAATTGAACAGTAAGTAGTAATTGGGCAGGTAAACAAGCAAATAATCATAGAGTTCTATAATTGAGTAAGCAGGCAAGCAGGTAAACAAGTAAATGTGTAATTTTGAAGTTGAATTTGGTAGTGAGCGAGTGGATTAATGAAGATGGTGTATTGAATGAATTAATAATAATCAGTAGCAGGATTTTAGATGCTTATTATCAGATAATGACGTGTGTATGTGTAAGTCAATAAATAATTTAATGTAAATGTGCGTTTATTTTGTGAGCAATAATAAATAAAATAGAATTTGATTGATAAATAATAATCATTTTTTTAATTTGTTATTAATAAATAGAAGATGCATGATTGTGCATTCATGTATTTTCTAGATTTCTTTTTATTACGTGTCAGTCAAATGAGATTCATATACTACCTAACCCTACTCGTCGTGCACTTACTATTTATGTTACAAGTTCGCGTGTGTGCGCGTAAAGAATTTTTTTATTTTTTTTTTGTTCGTTCCATTATGTATGTAAAATAATTAAAATAATAATAATTAAAGCTTTGTTTGTGTCATTTTTCTACTAATTTGTAATTATGGTTAAAATACCTACTGCGGATCAGAACTTATAATTTCGATTTGGGTCAAAAAAATATATATTAAGAACTAAAAATAAGCGGGATTAATTAGGTAAAAATAAAAGAAAAAAATTTTTTATCGTATTTTGGAAAAAATCATCCTTGGTATTGAGATTGATTGGTCAGTCATAATAATATTTGATTTTTTGAATTTTCTTCAAGTTTTTCCGCTATATTGACCTGTTGTATTGGTACTAACGTTATATTGTTCGTATGATATCAAAGATTATCTTTTGTTAGTCTGAATAAGAAGGTTTATTATATTAAATAGTATTATATAGAAAAAAATTATGTTAAAAAAAATTTACGTTAAATGATGAATGTTATATTCTATCCTCCAATCAAGTTGAATTTAGTCCAAACGGCATTCGTCTTTATCGTTCGTCTATTTGTTCTGTCATTTGTTTGATGAGTGTATGTCCATTCCAAATCCTCGTAAAGTTCTATTGATTATTTTTTTTCACTGGGAATTCAAAGATTTGTTTTCGCTATATTTTGATTAACATGAAGAATAATGAAATCTAATATTATTACAACGACAATAATGTTTACAAATATGTGCACGATCTAGTGGAATGCATGATTTTTTCAATCGGGAATCATTATCTAAATTCAAATTTATAATTAACGACTTCCAAATATAATCCCATCAACCGTCAAGAAGCGTCAATTAAGATTTCACTAACATAATCTTATTATTATTAATGTTGCTTTATTTATTATGTTTAATAAATAATATATTTTAATAGAAACCAGCTAGGACAAAGGAAAGTTCTCAGAATGTTTTAAGCAAGAACGCGTAAAATCAGGTAAGATTTATATATCCCTATCCAGATCCTTATCCAGATTCATATCTTGAATTCGGATACATTTTATTACGTTCTTCGATTGCCTTTCTAAATGGAATACCAGTTTATGGCCTTTTTAAGCCGTTTCGAATTAAACAAAAGAAAAAATAACACGTTCAATAGAAAAAATTTGAGTTTGTGTAGTTCTATTTTTACCCACTGTGTGCTGTTTCACAAACCGTAAAATATTTCATGTGACGGAGAAAAAAAATCAATCTTAAAAAAAAAAAACCTAATCCAGAAATGCAACAGCAACAACTACACAAACTACACAATAGTCATAACAATTTAAATCCCATAATTTATCCTTTAGATTGTTTAAACGAAGTTTGCTCTTCACGATCTTTTTCATCAGCAACTACCACCATAACAACAACAAAAACTTCAAATGCTTGCATTATATCAACAACCATTCCGTGCGAAATATTTATAGAGATATGCAGATATTTACATCCTGTTGAACTAGTCAACCTGACTTTTGTATGTAAAAAGTTCCGTCGTTGGTTGTTGGCCGTTTCAAACTTTGGAACTGAACAGATCTGGAAATTTTCTAGAACTACCTATTTGCCAAATCTTCCAGCAGCACCAAAAGGCTTGCCTGAACAATGTTATGTTTTTTTGCATTTGATTGAATTGGGCTGTCAATTTTGTGGTAAAGGAAGGATTGATCAAAATGGTGACATGCCAAGCGAACAACCTGCTAAAATTTATTGGGAGTTTAAAGTTAGATGTTGCAGATCTTGTTTTTTCAATAGAACAATAAGGTTTGTATAATAATAATAATAATAATAATAATAATAATAATAATAATAATAATAATAATAATAATAATAATTGCTACTGCTGCTAATTAAAAAAATAAATATTATATATATATATTTTTTTTTTATTTAAAAAAAAAAAAGTCGTGGTCAACTTAAAGAAGAGGGACGGTTGAATCGTGAAGCTTTGGTAGGCTTACCATTTTATTCACAAGCTAGCCGTCCTAAACTTTACTGGAGATCTCAAGTTGAAGCATCACATCAAGAAATTATTGAACGACAACAAAAAAAAAGAGGAGAAGAACAAGCAGAAGATCCTTTTTCTTATCCTTTTTCTTGTCCTCCTCCTTCTTTTTCTTTAGATTGGAAGGATATAAAAATAGTTAAATTATTGGAGTCGAATTTGATAACAGCACAATGTCAACAATCGAGCAAACCAGAACCATTAAAAAAATGGCATCAAAAGGCTCGTTTGAAATCTGTTATAAGTCGATTGTCTACAAGTGTGCCCAATGATGCTAACAGAAGCATTGAACGGGTTGAAGCTGAACTACGTAGATGCCCAACTTATAAAAAATATACCCTAAAAAACCCAGAAGCGACTGTTGCAATGAGATTTTTTTCTGATCATCATTGGGATAGTTTTCAAAACGCTATCAGAGAAGAGTATATTGAAAAAAGAAATTATGCAGCTATTAGAGCAAGACAGTTTGATTTATTTGTCAAGGTAACTAGTCGATTGATCAATCAGTATTATTATTATTATTGCTAATATAAACTATGTGTATATATAAATTTATAGGTTAATTCTATGGTTTCAATGCAAATTCCATCTAATCATCCAATATTTGAGTATCTTGTACACTGCCCTTCATTCAAACAACCATCTTTTCATTCTTCTGATCCTTCAATTCCATGGAGTGAAACATATCTAACACAAACTCTGATTCCAAAATTATGCGAAGAAGTTTTTGAATTTAGTAACAATACCAACAACAATAGTAACATCAATCAAAAATCCATCAAAATCGGCAAAAAACTACCACCAACAATAACAATGATAGCAAAGGGTCATTTCCTAAACAGGAAAATATTTTCTTGTAAATTATGTTCAGAAAATGTTTCTGAATATTCTTCAAGAAAAAAATCTTGTGTGTTTAATTTTAATGATATAAAAATACATTTACAATTAGAACATGGTATCACATATTCTTCTAAAAAAAAATCTTTTGTTTTAATAAATTTTTTAGAATTCGGTAAAAATTATTTGAAAAGAGATTCGCTTCTTGTTTGCTTCTTTTTTCCTTTATGTTTTCCATCAGTTCTATAGTTCTATCTATACATATAAAATTTTAAAAAATATAGATCATTTTGCAATCTGTTAATTTAATAAAAAAAGCATTTTCCTTTTTTTTTTTACAAAATTTATTTATTATTGTACAAGGTTCCAATTTGGAATTTTTAAATATACATATAAAAAATTATTGATTTTTACATCTTCCCAATCCATCCAAAGTAGGAAAAAACCTAGCCTCATCTTAAATCATACATACACTTCATCGCCACCAATTAAATAATTTTTCTTTTTAAAATTATCACCTCTCTTAATAATAGATAAAAAAGAGAAAAAATATAAATTACTAAAATATTACACTAATATATATATATAGTTATAGAATAAATATTTAATGTTTTGCCAGGTTTCTTGTTTTGTACTGATCACCTTTATGTAATCCCATTAAGAATCGAATTTTTTGACAAATCTCACCTAAAGTTTAAATTTTAATTTAATTAATTAATTGATTGATTGATTATTAAGTAAATACGAAACAAAATTTTTTTATTAGTAATTACTTGTTGTTTTTGGAGACTCTGCCTCAAAATCATAAGTTTTGAGACCGGAATCTCGATATATTACTAATTTAAAATTAGATGGGGCTTTTTTATTTGGTTTACATGATGACACAGCCGTTATATGATAAGACGACTATAAATTTAATTATGATTAAATATTTATAGACTTTAAAATTAAAAAAAAAAAATCAAAAAAAAAACTAACTGTTTTCATCGACTCAAACATTGTTCTAGTTTCTGATGGCATAATGTGTATATAATCACCATCAATCGCCAACACTCGTTCATGACGTCCAACAAACATTGGTGTTTTGCGATAGACCAAATATTTCTATTATTTAAAAATCATAATCATCATTACTATCATAGTAAACTTTTAATAGACTTCTACTATAAATGAATGAGTACCTTATAGACAGACATGTATTCATTGGAAGAAACATATAATGGTTGTGGTGGATCAGTCGGTGTTCTTCGTTTAGATGTCCTTTCTTTAATAGCTATTCGCAATATATATATATATATATATATATAAATTAATCAATTAAAATGAAAATAGGAAAAAAGCAATATTTACTAGTTGGACTAGGTGGCATATCGCCTGTTGTAGGTGTTGTAACTCTTGGCACCAAGACTAAATCTTGTTCGTTACCAACTGTATCAACTGTGTTTTCTAAGTTTATGAAAATATTTGAATCAGCAATTTTAAAAGTGTAGTCTTTACTATCCAACTTTCGTTTCTGACAAACTGCATCCAAAACTTCATAGAAATGCATGTCAGGTGAAACATTAATGGTGGTTGTATGTGCAACTTCAGAATTTTGTGTAAGTCGAATTCTCAAAAATATTTGATTAGCAAGATCAACTGTACTTCCTAATGTGTTAGTGCGTGTTGTTGAATCGTTTATAGTTGTTATGGTGGATCCGTCTGATTTAGCTGTAGGTGGGTCTGTCATGGATTCTTTAGTTGGCGATCTCATTTTGGCATGAAGTGCTTCATTTTGTTTCACTAAATATATATATAAATATAATATTTTAGAGTGGGAAAGTTTTTCTAAATAAATAAATAAATTCCTATATATAAAATAATAAATTTAATTCAAACCTTGTGTTGGATTTGCTATACATAATGCAAATTGATCAAAAGCAAATTTTGATATTTTTCTTGTCCTCTCCAATGCTTTAAAAAAAATATATATTTCTTTTTTAGGGAAAATCCATAATTGATCAGAAAGAAGAAAAATAAATTTTTTTTTTACCAATATCTTCATCAATTTCACCATCATCCTCAACAATTCTCATAATCCATTGTACAACATTACATAGTCGTGACTCTAATATAGGTTCCCGTTTTTCATCCCAATATTGATACAATGTATATCCTATTACCTCTTCAACAGATGCATCCCTTTTTACAATAAGCACAAGTGGCTTGGTAGGTTCTTTACAAAAAGGAAGATATAGTTTCAATTTTATTGGATTAAGATCTCCTTTTCCTGCAAAAAAACTATATTTTTCTCTGAATGGATTGTCTAATTTACTTTTCTTTTCAGCAATTAAAACAGAAAGCGCAGATATTGGTTTTGTGGAGGTTGTGGCGGTGAATTTTGATGGATCAGGGAATAGTTTTTTCTCTTTTTCTGGGGACAATGGTTCTTTTGGTGGTGGACTAGAAGATAAGATCTCTGCTCCATCATCAGTTGTTAACAATGAGGCTTCTGAACCTCGTCTATCTTCTAATACTTTATCGCTTTCTGTTGATGTAGCTGGGGATAGCTGTGGAGTTTGTTCATTTGATGATATTCCAAGTATGCTTTCAGGGGAAGTTTTTAATGCTCCTCCAGGTGAATATGAACTTCCAGCAAATTTTTGTCGAGAAGTTGGTGGTTTTGAAGGAGAAGTTATGAATACCGGTGGGGGTGGTACTACATTAGGTTTTATATGGAGCTTGGAAAACATTTGTCGTGCTTTCTTGCTGAAATTATTAATTATTCAATTAATTATTGAAATTATTCAAATTAGAATTTTTTATATTTTAATTAATATATTTTCTTATTGAAACTGTAAGAAATTATCAGATTATATGTTGTTTAAACGTACACACACTCATATATTTTATCCTTTTATATTTTTATTTATATATCAACTTACCCATTTTCATCGCCAATATCTGTTTCATCATCACTATCTCCAATACTTAATCCTTCTGATATTGCATCTTTACTTTTATTACTCAACTCTGTGTAAGTTTTTACACGAACACCAGATATAGGTGGACAAGCAGAACTGGTGGATTTAAAATAATCATTGCTTGATATGCTAATGTTTGGGGAATGACAATTATGCATTTCTGGGTAAGACGTTTCAGCTATTTTGATGTAATCATTTGAAAGAACAGTTGGGTTAAAGGTTATTACACGCTCTCCTATCCTTTCTCCTACTCGACGAAGATAACCTACACGAAGTTGATGAATAATATAACTTTACAACTTTGATGTTAGTTTAAATCTTTTTTTAAAAAAAAATTAATAAAGTAACCCCAAGCGATGAAATTTAGTTAATTCTTACTCTGCATCATTTAATAACGACATTGAGTAAAGATCTTTATAAAACAAAAATATATGCTTTCTAGATTTTAATGGGTAAATGAAGCTTTTTAAAATATTATTTATTGATTGTTTTTTTTAATATATAAGTATTATTATTTATTATATTTACAAAAAATTTAAAGAACATTTTACTGGTGATCACAATTATTTGTTGGCGCTATTCCAAATAAAGTAACAACAATCAAATCACAATTATAAACATAAAGGCGAAAATAAAAAAATATTAAAAATTATTAAAATTTTTTTTACTAATTATAAACCTCTATTTCTTGCTGTCAATATCATAAAAACGATAATATTCATTATTAATACTGTTATATAATTCCAAATCACGGAAACTTGTAGACTTTTACGAAATTTAGGTTATATACAATCTTGTTCAGTATGAACTCGAGAAGAAACTTACCAATTCATTTAATGACAACTATTGTTTTGTTCAATGTCCCTTCATCTTGAGATCCACGAAAGATTAATACTTAAATTATAGAAATTAAAATTTTAACTTCTATGTCTCTTGGATATTTTTGAAGTAACGGTTGCCGTTTGTCAAAGTTGAAGAATATTTTCATACACTTCTTTATCAATAATCTCTTTATAATGTTTGGTTTTATTATGAATCAATTGGTGAGATCTGATCAACGGAATTATATCCTCTAATAAAGTGTTCAAATCATCATTATTATCTTCCAATAAGAGTTTGGGTTTTGTGTGTATTGGTGAGAGCTGCCCCAATCCAAAATCCTACACATCTTAATAATTTCAATTTCTTTCAAATCCACACCATTTTTTCTAGTGCTCCGAAAAAAACGAACTGAAAACATGAAGTTTAATTAGTTGATCGATATGTTCCGAGGGCTAGCCAAACCAAAACTGAGAGCTTTGATCTTTTCCCATATTTGATATAAGCATGGGTTTTCAATTACTGGAATGTTGTCATCATAAGATTCAAAACGGGACTAATTATAAAATATATTGAATGATGTTTGTTTGTTGAACTTTATAAAAATAAATTATACTCTGTTGAATCCATTCTTTTTCTATCATTATTAAACAATTCTATAAAATAGCTCATCACATACTTCAAGCAACCCAAAAACTTCATCTTATAAATATATCTTTTATAATAAATAGATAATATAAATATATAGTTATTACATTTAATTTATTGTAATCAAAGGAATTTATTGATAAATCAATCTTATGTCAAAACAACTTTATTTTTCAAATAAAATAATACCGTCATCATCAGGGGTTTGAGAAAGCTGACTTAAAGCATGAAGATATTACTTTTAAAACATCAGAATGTGCTTTAAAAGCTTTGACATCCTAATTTCTACACCATAGATTTAACAATTTTCTAAATCATTTACATATATTTTAAAGGAAGAAGTATCTTTATTAAATTAACAAGGTCACTCATTAATGATGTTTTCCAAAGATATTATATAGATATTTTGAAGAATATAATTTTTTTAAATAAAATACTTGAAATATCAATTAAATTCACGGAATTAAGAGACAATTATGATTTGCGATTTCGAGGCCCAGGGCACAAAATTTGGTCCGATATTCGGAAATATGGTCAGGATTTCCGGCTTGTTGGAAAAATACAGAAATTCGTGTTTTGCTGAACCTCAATCCAAAGTCCTTTTAAATGAATTAATAATAATAATAAATAATAAACAACAAATAATTATTATCGGGATAAGCAATGTTAATATTTTTAAAATGCAATAATAACAAAATTTGAGAAGGCTTTAAAGTGCTCTTGGTGAGAATTTTTGTAAACCCTAATTTGAAAACTAGGAGGGTCATTTTTTTTCGAGAATTAAGTTTGAAAACTGGAATTTTGAACAACTGATAACAACGTATGTACTCTCACATTAAGCGCATATCCAATGTTACGCGCATTGAGATTCCTTTTTTTAGGTAATAGATAGCCGAATAGGAGTTCATGATGATTGTTTGTTTTTCATTGGATTAGTTTTGAGGAAATTTACAGATTAAAATTCTAAATTTATCAAAATGATTTTAACTGCTGACGAATTAATTAATGAACTATCAGTTCGCATTTTCGCCTTTATTATCTGTTCTTTAAAAAATTAATATTTTTTTTTTACGATAAAAAAAAATAAATTATTTATTTCAATTTTTTGCAAAAAGGTATTATTTTTTTTGTTACAATTATAACCAGATTTACCATGTACATTTCCGTTACCATTCATTGGCAAATTTATTTGGAAGATATTTTTTGGTAATCCACTTATGAAGCTCCGAAACGGGCGGGCTAACTCGAAAGTTTTCAGGTTGTTGGTTGGAACCGAACCGAAAAACTCGAACCCGACCCGAAACCCAAAAACTTTTTGGACTGTACCAATTACACTTGAGGTCAAAATTATTAAATTGCAATAAAAATCCTAAAAATTTGCATTGCATCATCTATCATAATTTTATACAATTGACACAAAATGCAATTCGTGATGCAAGTCTCAATTCATGGTGCAAACATGATTCATGACAATTTATTAGCTAACAAAATCTTTTTAGCTATGAAGCATTGATGTTACATTAAAAATTAAAAAATTGAAAAGTTTTCATGCAATTAATAAAGAGTTTTATATGTGGTTAAAGTTTGAATTGATTCATACACACAATTATGTTTTGTGTAGTGATGGTGGCTGAAATTATTTTAACAAATCTGATAGAAATTAGGAATTTAGGCTCCTAAACTAGTGACGAAACTTATAAATTACCTAAACTATGGGTAAACTCCTAAACTGTGGTTAAATTGTCAAATCTATGACCAAAGTTTTATGATAAATAAAACGGATTTATCGAAGTGCCGTCCAATCATATGCAGGACATGTGATCTATATAGTCACTTTCGTTTTGTATTTTTTAATAATATTTTATATTCGCATTTTTATTATTTATTTATATATTTATTAAAAAAAGATATGATTATCATAAAAATAGTGTCGTTTTTTGATCCAATTCGTTCTGTAATAATAAAACAAATCAATTCTTTTTTTTTTGTTCAATAAAACACTTTTGTGGTCGGAAATTAAACAGTAGTTTAATTGACCACTTGGTTTTCACCTGCAGTTTAGGTTTCGCCAACTTCGCCGCAAAATTAGTAAACTGTGGTTAGTTCCGGCCATCATCCACTAGCCTTGTGTCTTTAATTATGTATTGTGTCACGAATTGTCTTGAATTACGTCTTGCATCGCGAATTGCCTTGAGTTACGTTTTGCATCGCGAATTGCATCCTACATCTCTTGCATCATGAATTGTGTTTTGCGTCACGCATGACACAAATTGCAGCTTTTAAACCACTATAACTGTTTTGCCTTTTATATTTAATTAATTATTATTATCCGAATTTATGTAAATCACAAAATTTTCTTATTAACCCGAAATCAACCCAAACTCGACCGAAAATTTCGGGTCGGTCTCGGGTTTGCCTTTAAAATATTCGGGCCAAACTCGCCCGCCCGACCCGTTCGGAGCTTTATATGGTTATGTAGAGCTGATTTAATTGAGAGTTTATTATTAATCAACCAATAATTTCAAATTACTTAATAAAAAAATCAACAAGAGCTGGATGGAATGAGGGCTATCACATGGCGTAGTGGGCTCACAAGTGCACAAATAATCTTTCTAGTTTGAAAAAATCAAAACCATCATTTTGTTTATCTTAAGTAAAGCTATCAACTGATAATTGAATTTGAAATTTTATTGCACAGAGCATGAGATATATATCAGTTTAAAGCTCAAGCTAATTTACTATGTTTGGAAGGCCAGATTGAAACATTGGACTGAGCTCATATACAAATAGTTGCCTAATTTTAAAACTTGAAAGATCATCTGTATTTATCAAAAATTAAAACACTTGGATGTGTCCCACAGTAAAACTATGAAAATGACCTAGAATCTTGGTCATTTAATTGTAAATTTTTAGTTAATGCAGGTTTGTCACCAAGTTTAAAGACTTCATGATTGATTTGGTCAAAGATAGTTATTCACAAGTGGAAATTATTAAATTCGGGAATTTAAAATAATAAAAGAATAATAATGACGCTTATCTTATTAATTTATCTCTTGGTTTTCAAGATTAAGTGGTCTCTCATACAAAAAAATGACTACTAAAAAGGTTACATGCTAGAAAATTATTTTAATGAATTGAGAAATCAAATCAACAACAACGAAAATTCATCAGATATGACCACTATTAGTTTGCTACAAGAAAATGAGAATACACTAGAATTAATTCATAAATATATTGCATCAATAGTTTTTTTATCAGATTGTACATACCAGTCAGATTGATCCATAATCATCTTAGAAAAGTTTGCTTGGAGTAATCAAAGAGAGAAGACATTGAAATAATGGATCATGATAATGAAATTAATGCAAATACTAGAAAAGATTTAGGGAAGAATAATTTCAGTGAGAATGATAAACTTTATAATGACCAATGACTGATGGTGAAATTAATGAAATTGTATTTGAAATATTATTAAGGCACTGTGAGTGATAAATCCTTATTATATTTTTGATTGAAATTTGAATTTCACTAAACAAAGTTTTTATATAGTTGGCTCGGTCTAAAGACCTCCTAAATTTTGGGAAAATTTTAAAAGTATAGAAGTCATTTTCTGTCCTATCTTTTAAAAAAATAGCTCTATTAGTTGATAGAATATGTAT